CATATTATTTAACTGATGCAAAGTTACGTCTTTATTGGGAGAGGATCTTGACGGATTATACGTGACCCCTTCACGAGACTAACGATGAGCATAGACAACAGAGAGAGAATTAAATTCAGCGCTTTTATTTCCAACATGCGCTCATTCATGGCTGCATATTATTTAATTCAGGCACAGTTACGTCTTTATTGGGACAGGACTTGACGGATTGTTTTACATGACTCCGTGAGTTGGTCTCTTTCTATTTGAGCCAAGCTGCATAAACTACATATCAGGCATTTATGTAATGCATCTAATTTGTGCATAAATGGCTGTTATGTTAAATAAAGTTTACTAACTACAGCAAATCAAGTACCTGCACCATGCCGTTGTTGTTGTCTCGTCTCCCCTCAGATGCGCTGCAATGGCGATCCTGCTCGCAATTCTCAAAACACCCAAGATGGCAGCGTTTATCGGTGAATCCTATATTACAAAACCGATGTCCGATTATGGTAAAATGCTTAAATATCTGGAAAAATATCGGTAAATTGATATATCGGTCGATCTCTGCTTGCGTCGTCAGATTTATCCATATGTCTGCTCTTCTCTTACTCACACATATTGACATTTTTTAACGTTTTATGCGACGTGCAGCAAGTGTATGTTAGCTTATGTCCCGCCGGTTCATATGTAAGCATCTAACCTCCGAACTTATGCAGCAGATTCGTTCTGAATGAATCTCTTCCCAAATCGTCCCTCCCTAACATTTTTGTCTCGTTTTTATTCGTTGACGAAAATGTCAATAGATTTACGTCATAGTTTTTGTCATTCACAAACAGATTTAGTTTGTTATCGTCTCGTTGTCGTCGGTGAAAAAAATGTTGTTGACGAAAATTATGACGAAAATTATTCGTCAACGAAATTAACACTGACACACACACAAACGCACGCACACATACATATATTTCATTACAATAATGATGATTTGGGGGGAGATTAAAATAAATAAAGATCTGATGAAAATACAGGAAATGTATGCTGTGAATTTTTAAATAGCTCTGGGGGAAATTGCTTTTAAGTGTACTGAGTAATTCTACAGGACTTTACCTCCGGGCAGCAATGGCTTTGAGCAGGTTTGTGTGGCAGGTGAGGGCTGATGAGGCCACTATTGCATTCTGTGGGTTATCCTCTGGTGCAATCTCAAACTAAATATTACAAGAAGAAAAAGATGTAAGTTTCTGTTTAGTCCATATAGTCAATTTCTGCAGTAAAGGATTACAGACAACTTCATAACCAGGGTTATTTCACAGCATTTATTGCCATAATTACAGAAGTACAATCACTGATGTTTTTAATTAGAATATAGCATGTCAAACCAAGGGTTGCGAAAAGGTGGAACATTTCCAGTAAATTTCAGGAAGCATTCCAGAAATTTGGAAAGTTTCTAGGAATTTTTGGAAAGTTTCCGGAAATTTACTGGACATTTTCCACCCCTTTGCAACCCTAGTCAAACCACAGGATGTGTCAACATCAGGTCAACTATCCATGAGTATACATATGCATAGGTGTGCACCTGTGGTCCTTGACCACCATCTTTGATTTGGCAGGTGTAGAGACACTTCTGATCAGGGTTCTTCATGCTGGCGAAAACTCTCGTGCTGCAGAACCCCACGGGACAGATAGCAGTTTCGTTATGAAACAGTGCCCTGTCTGTGATGATCTACGATAAAAACACAAACTTATGAGCTCTTCTTCAGCAACAAAACATTTCACTCTTTAACTGCTAAAATATAAATATTTACTAAAGACTGCTGCCTCACTGTGAAGTAAACAACAGTTATGACCTTTACAATATCCCATTAGAGCTGGGTGAGTTTCTGACCTCTCCTAGGCTGTACACAGTGAGTCCACCAAGCACGATGGGAAAGACCGGCCTCCCTGAAGAGTCCAGTGAGATGGGCTGCACAAGCTTGCGCACTCCTCCTTCTGCAGCCTTCCTTTTCTTACAAATCTTCTTCAGGGTTGACTAAGGGTTGAGCAAATAGAATTGCACTGAATCTGTAGTTTTAAAATGCAGACACATATATTTTAGAAAACAATTCTTCCCTGCCGTTCTCTCTTCCCCTCTCTTTTCTTTCTTTTTTGGGTTTCTTCAGAAGGCCGTCGTCAGATCCTGAGAGTCCAGTGGCCTGGCTGTGACTCCCTGGTAGAGCAGTGCCCCCTGGTGTACTGGAGCTCAACACGACAGGTGCATGTGTGCTGCAGCTGGGAGTCGGTATCAGAGCATGTGAGCGAAGCGGAGCGGTGTGACGCTCCGCTACGTTTTCCGCTCTATGGACGTGCGCTCCACTCAGTCGCTCTAACCGCCCAAGCAAGCGCTCCGTTAATATTCCGCTCACGCTCGCCGTAAACCAATTCCCGCTCAGATCCCGCTCCGTTCTGTAAAGAACAAATTTGCGTGCATTATATTAGATTATAAATTACTGCTGCCTATATCTAGCCTACGGAAATATTACCACTCCGCTCCGCTCACATGCTCTGGTCGGTACAGACTCTCCTTCAGCCAGAGACTGATACTGCAACAAAGACTTCAGCAGGAATCTGAAGAAACAGAGTGAGAGAGTAAGTCGACTGTATCTTAGGAGTCGGGAATGCAACTAAAGATGATTAGATTACTGATTCTTTTTAATTATAATTATTAGATCACTGTATCTTCTTGTTTTTGTTTGTGCTATTGCTTGTCATTTATGTATTTGTTCTTATTTTATTAATTACTGTTTACTAGTCTTTTTTTGTTAAAATAAATTAAATTCAGAGTTCTGAGTCCTGCCACCACAGCTGGAAAAAATCCTAGAAGAAACGTGGAAACACACAGCTAAAAAAGTTCCTGGCAGGTCTTGATCATATTACATGGGGAAGTCGTGGCCTACTGGTTAGAGAGTCGGACTCGTAACCCAAAGGTTGTGGGTTCGAGTCTCGTACCGGCAGGGATTGTAGGTGGGGGGAGTGAATGTACAGCGCTCTCTCCCACCTTCAATACCACGACTGAGGTGTCCCCCAACTGCTCCCCGGGCGCCGCAGCATAAATGGCTGCCCACTGCTCCGGGTGTGTGTTCACGGTGTGTGTGTGTTCACTGCTGTGTGTGTGTGCACTTTGGATGGGTTAAATGCAGAGCACTAATTCCAAGTATGGGTCACCGTACTTGGCCACGTCATGTCACTTTCACTTTTTTTTTTTTCACATGTCTATATAACTTCCTTACAGCTTAAACAGCAAACTAGCCAAAACCCACGACACTGACCAAGCAAATAAATCAATTTATTTCCACATTTTTGCCACAAAATGTATGTACAGAAAGCACATACTCTTCTCTCACGCTCTCCCCCTTACAAACGCACACACATACAGTACAGACACACACTCGCACACTGTTGTCTGTGCTGTTCTGATTTTATCAATAAAATAGTTTAACAACTTAAGAGAAACAGATCATTCTAATATGCTGATTTGGTACTGAATAAACATTGCTATTATTATCTATGTTGGAAACAGTTGTGTAGTTTAATATTTTTGTGGGAACTGTGATACTTTTTTCAGGTGAAAGATCAAAACAACAGCATTTATTGTAAATAGAAATAGTTTGTAACATTATAAATGTCTTCACAGTCACTTTTATTCACTTGAATACATCCTTACAGAATAAAAGTATTTGTTTCCTTTGGGGGGGAAAAAAACCAAGACTGAACAACTCCTCTGAATTTCAGTATAGCATCTTCTTTTAAAAATAACATATTTAAGTAATTTGATTTTCAATCAAGTATATTTTGTAATAAAGATAACTGAGCGTGGATGTACCTCCTTTCTTCTTTTGCCCGAACAAACTTCTCTTCCAGGTGAGCAATCTCATCATACAGTGCTGCATTTTCCTGTGAAATAATGGGCACCAATTCAGGGATGCTTATCATGATAATGTCCAAAGTAGGCAATTACATATTTAAACTGTTTTTGGTATAAAAACGAAAAGAAATTTTACTTACAAATATCATAGCACAGGCAGCTTTGCGCAGACGCATGTACTTCAGCCGGTACTTCTCATTTTGGTTCTTGCGAGGACCCTTCCTGACTGTAGGCCTGGATTCAGAGTGGCTCGTGGGGGAAGGCAGGGGTCCCATGGACGAACCGGAGCCCGAACTTGAGAAGGTCGACTGGGCAGAGAATGCATGCAATGCATTCTGTCTCTCTTCATCAGTCTGCATATGTGAGTTACAAATAATCAAAGAGTTTTACACGTATTGATACAACAGAGAAAAACATGTTTTCAGAAGAACTGTTTATTACAGCTACACATGGGTGTTATGCCATTAAATTGCTGGAATCTATGTAAGGGATAATCAACGGTTTGCCGTGCATTAAAGGATTTTAAATGCACGACGCGGAGGCAAAGAACCACCCAACGCAAAGTGCATTTAAAATCCTTTAATGCATGGCAAGCCATTGATTATCCCGCTTATTCCATGGTCATTTGCCAAGTTATAGACAAGTTAAAACTAGTATTGCTCTTTGCAGCTTAAAATTTGACCGAATGGGTAAAAATGACAGTTATTTTCGTCAGTTACGGCTTGTTCACTCTTGCATAGTGCCCACTACAAATCAGACACAGAGATGAAATAGTGCGGTAAGATCACTTGTTAGCTCTAGCATAGTGCCCACTACAAATCAGACACAGAGATGAAATAGTGCGGTAAGATCACATTTATTTGAATGAATTACAGCATTTATTTCAATTAATTATCGAGAGAGAGAGGGAAAGAGAGAGAGAGAGATGACAGTTTTGTGTGCATTACCTGCGTGTCTCTCACTACAAACAATTAATTACTTAAAAAAACTGCGCTTTTACCACCTCGTTGCGGAGGAATATAATGTAGCGATCTAGTATAAGCTATTTTATTAATAAAAATCGCGGGGAAGCATTGACAACAAGTTTATGTGTGTGCGCAGCGCAATCTGTGATCTCCGATCTCTCTCTCTCTGTGTGTGTGCGGGTTTGTGTGCATCAATTAAAGCAGCACATTAATATAGAACGGTGATTAAAACGGACTTGGAACTACCTGTGCATTAAAGGGGTCATATGATGCGATTTCAATTTTTCCTTTCTCTTTGGAGTGTTACAAGCTCTTGGTGCATAAAGAAGATCTGTAAAGTTGCAAAGACTAAAGTCTCAAATCCAAAGAGATATTCGAGTCAAGCACACCTACCTAAAACGGCTCGTTCTAACACGCCCCCACATGTCTACGTCACGATGTAGCAAGATTTGCATTTGCAGACATAGTTTTATGATTACACAGCGCGATACGCAACGCAACGCGTAAAAAGACAGTATAAAGGGGCGGTCACACTAAACTTTGAACGTGCAAAATTTTTTCGGACGCTGCTGCGAATATGGACAGGAGCAGGATATGACAAAAATAATAATACACGTGTGTATAATAATTATATTGTACTCTCTCTCTCTCTCTCTATATATATTGTGACAAGCGTCCCGAAGCTTCATCAGCGTTGCCCTGGAAACAAGAGAGGAACACCTGCCCGTCCTCGTCACAGGCTGATCGGTCACAGCTGCAGCTCATCAGGCGGCGGCTACATAAGCCACCTTTGAGACACTTCTCCATGAGACTGAGCATTAACTCGCCCTCTCATTTCTCCCACAGACAGCAGCGTGTGACCGACCAGCCCCACAGGAGCACAGCACGGACCCACTGCACTGGGAAGAAGGACGAAGAGCACTCACGGCACCGGAGCACCCACCTGGACTTTTTCTCTTTTGCACACCCTCTTGTGAATAAATCCACCCTCCGGGGCATTTATTGAGCCATCCTTGTCGTGTGATTCTTCACCCCGTGACACTGGTGGAGAATGCAGGCGTATCAGTGAAGAATTACCGACAAGCGATCTCCTTCACCTCACCTTTTTTTTCCCTTTGTGTCTCCGGCTTTCTGTCACAGGCGAGCGCTCCTCCCCCAACATGGACGAAATCCTCCAGCGGCTCACCGAGGTTAGCATCCGCCAGCAACAAATCGTTGAGCACCTCGCCACCCGTCAAGGGGAGACAGAGCAGGAGCTCGCGGCTCTTCGTGCCGCCGCCGCTCAACGTATTCCGCTGTCGGACCCCCGAGTACAAGCCGCTAAGCTGCTACCCGAGTTGAC